GAAAGTGGTCAACACTTGGATCTTGAAGAAGTACCGTAGAAACAATCGAAACAAGGTCAGGAGTTGTAAATCTCACTAAGCTAATAGGAATTTTCAAGGTTTACCTTTTTGGGTGACTATACGAACCTTGAAACAAAGCCCCAGTGTAGCATCTCCTACTAACAACCAGATCTCAAGAAACACAATCATAATCCAATCCTAACAGAAAATGCGAAACACGACATTGCTCTGCTACCGACACCAAAAAATTACATTGAGCTCGTTACCGCACCTTCAAGACCTCCTTCAATGACGGGTTCCCTCGAGTTGGTGGGATCCGATTTGAAAACAGAATGGGACACAATCACACCGGAGTCTTTGCCTTTTCCCAAACGTGGAGAACGTTTTTCCACGATTTGGGTACTGCTTGCCCAAGTACCAGGAACAGAAGCACGTGGAATCTCCGTAGACCTCTGTGGTAAAAGCACCAACAGTGACCAACTCGTGCTTTGAATAAGTAGAATACATCTCGTCGGTCCGAACCTTTTACGATCAGTGATTCCTAGATTTCAATAACGTTCTTCTCGGTCTAACACGTTATTTACACCCGATGAATGCATAAAAGATGATAGTGGATGCTTCTCATTCAGCAGAAAATGCACCCCAATTTTTCAATTGCACCAATGTTTCGAAGCGCCCAAAAAAGACATTTTTAAAATGAGTAGTAAGTTGTTGCTTACCTTGCCGAGTTTATCGAAGAGTGTCGACGGTAGCATCAAGGGAGCTTGCCCACACGAACACTTTACATTGGAGGCTTTAACCTCAGCGACTTTAGCATTACCACCAATGCTTTGTCTAAAAAGATGACATCTCTGAGGCGCAATGACTAATGCAATTCATGCATTCACTGCAGTGTGGAATCCACTGACACAGAAGTTCACGTTATACGTGTAACTGATATAAATAAGTATGGTTACAAGTAGCTCGAGTACCAAATTATGCAAGTACACCCAAATCTATACAATCTTTTTACTTAAATGACCAAGTAGACCAAATTTAATGATAGCATGCAGTTAAGATGGTAGCACCAACAGTAAGTCTCCATTTCAAGCACTACTATAATGAACTCGAAAACTCCTGGAAATCAATAGAAACCTAATGAAATGTGCAACTACGCAATGTATTAGGTTTAAAGCCCCATTTTGGAGATACCTCGAGGGCAAGGCTCAAAGGCGAAGATGGGAATCAACGAGAGCTAAGACTATAACTTGGGCAAGCCAAATAAAATAAATTAGTTATGAAAGGCGTTGTTCCTATGTCAGTTACCTCAAGCGCTTAAGATTGGAAACGTGTTTACCGATGGTGATGCTTGGTATTCCTAAATCCCACGATTTATATTCAGTGGGATAACTTAAGAACCTCGTATTGGAGATGGGACATGGGCACGTAGTGTTGCAATAGGTTTCACACGAACACTCGATTATAGCCAAAGCAATTTCTTGCTCCAAAATTGGGCGCCTGTTGAAAGTCTCCTTTAGAACCGAGTACGCCAAATCATGCTCCGCAACTGCATTGCCCGCCTCGTACAAAACACACGGATCGGAAATAGAGCCAAAAATGTCCACAAAGCACTGTCGACTGGCGGATAAAGCTTCGGCGATGCAGACCAATTTAGCATTAGTTAGACCCAATAAGAGACGGAAACGCTGAAGCTGAAAATTGAATTATGAGTTTTCTACCAAGGCATAGAATAGTCTAGGTAAAAATACCTTTGATGAGGTTAGAAATATGAAAGTTTTTCCATCAAAAACAAGTCGCCTGTTGGGATTTGAGTAAAACTTCGAGGCGTCCGAGCTCGTAAACAATTTCTCCTCAATTGGAGGTAAATGCCTTCAGGCGCATAACCGACAAAATGTTTGCACCTTACCTGGAACGATTGAGATCACAGAAATTTTCACAATGGCGAGAGTTTCCGAGAGCGTACAGGTAGTCCGGAGTTACAATGTCCAAATTACGAAGCAGACAACACAAAACCTTAAGCATAAGAAACTAAATTGACTACCTTATGAGTAACAACGAGCTTTGACATGACAAGAAGAGTACACTCCTCAGCCCATTCATAAAACACTTTGCCGCCCAACGAATGGACAGTGGCTCTAACTTTTGTCTTAGCCAATGGTGAGACGGAGGAGAGAAGAACATTGAGAGGATATACTTCAGCACTGAATCTGTCTGTTGTAGAACATAGCTTACTTTATCGTTACACCAGGCGTTGCACCAAAAGTTATTTTTGAGTCGGTTGGAACTGACGTAGCTACATTTCTAATAATCCTACTCCCATTTAAAAAAGTTCCGAAACGCGAAACATCCGTAATCTCCAGAACTGGCGCCATGTGACTTCCGGCATCAACTGCTTCCTCAGGATACGAAATCCGAAGTTTGGCATGTAGACGGCTTACTGAGGGATCAAGCATAACGAAATCAACGTTGACCCGGCCAACAGTATAATCACGATTTGTCAGCAATAGGTGTTTATAATCTATTTCGAAAATAAAAAATTGAGAGGCACCGACCGGGTTCTGATTCCTTTGAGACCAGCCACATATTATCGTGTTAGCATATACAATAAATAGGGGCAGTAATTGAATTGTAATAACAACGAAGACTTCTAGGATCCAAAAGATCCTTGCTAGTCCAGAAGAGCCGAGTGCTCCAGAAAACGACGAACCAACAACGCTTGAAGGAGCATCAATTGAGGGGGATGAAGTTCAAAGGCGTTTTCCACTCTATAAAACAAAAAAAATATTGAAACGCAAAATGGAAAAATTGCTAAGTCTAGACACTATTTAGCAGTGTACTTCGTATTTCGAATAATGGTAATTGTCCCACTAATAAAAAACAACCATAAGAAGCTTCAGCCAGAGACCTTATGAAACAAGTAAACAAATTGTTTTTAAATAGAATGCTTGGCATAAATGACATTGAGATCAACTCACTATCGTAAACTTGTTACACAATAGTCAATGCGATGCCTTGATGTTTAAGTGTTGACTACGGTTTCGGCTGTCAAAATAACCGCATTGACCTGGCTTGGTTTCAGTTGATGTGTCAAACTCTAGCAATGCAGACTGACTTCTTATTCTATAAGAGCTGTCTGCAATAAAACTGTTAACTATAGAGCAACACTCTCCAGTCCTCTGGAAGGTTTTGTTCATAGTTTTTCGTACCATATCGACAATAGCACGAAGATAGATTAATCTCGCCTTGAAATCTCTACTCCCTTGGTTGCTAAGCCGGTTCAAAGGCACGTAGCACCTCAAGACTTTCCACTGGACTAAAAAGCATTAAGTGGGACTGACGTCGTCAAAGGATCTGACGAATCTTTAGGTAAACGCCAGACATCAGGTGGTCACATAGGTGAACTATTACAAGGGAGACATTGAAAGTTTCGAGGCTTCTCTTTTGGCAGTAGAAAATACTGGTCATGGCTAGGAACCCGCATTTGGAAGGGTGGAAGACATATGGCCTTAGCTTAGCCTGAAGACCTGCCCATCCGCCAGTCGCTCATGTAGTTGGGTAAACAACGTACTGCCTTGCACCACTCTTAGAGCGACGTCCTCGATGGTCTCCTGCACCAACAATCACAGCATATTCTGTGCTGCAAGAAAGCCTTCATCAGCCAGTCTTCCCTGTCACCAGCTTCCATGAGATTGAGAAAAGGTAATGGACTCTCTCAGCAGCTTTAACTGTATCTGAGATCATTTCCTCTCGGAAAAAAATGAAATGAGAGTGGATACTTCTGCTAATCAACAGTTGTGTCTAGGTCCAGACATTAGAGCGCTGGTTTTAAAGCAAATGCATAACAGAGAATACGGAATAGAATACAGTCTTATATGGAAGAGATTCAGCTTAGTCTTATCGCAGACAATTAGGAGCAAGGGCTTTAAGGTAGCTTACGAAACGAGACTTTTTGAGTTTGTGTGTGACAATTCCGATTTAGCTGCTAATAGCTTGCCTGTAGTAAAAAGGTAAACAAGCTCAGACGTCGATCTCCACTCTTCTACTGTGGAGTAATTGAAAGCCTTTCTTCTAAAGAATCTGTTTCACTTTCACCATAGAAGCTTGTGAGAAACGACGGAAACTCGTAGCACAGTGGATGTCATTGTTTGCTGCCACTAGTGCAACTTCTCAGGGTCTCTTAGCTAATGGGAGAAGGCATTGTAATACTTTGTTTATGTGACCACCAAGTGTCTTGAGGTCACTTTAGGATTCTTCTGGTCCTTGTGGGCGGAGCTAGTTTTCGGGCCATGCTCAGGCCTAATTGATTTGTCCTCCTTGGAGTGACTGCTATCAGTTCCATTTACTGCTTCTTCTACCCGGCGGGAAGACTCGAGATGCTACAGGTATAATGCATGCTTTAATATTCTTGTTAGGAGAAGGTGAAAACTGGGCTTTGATTTAGGCTGGGGACCAGCCGCCTGGCTAACAACAAAGTAAGTAGCAATGTGGGCATTCTTTATACAGGCAGTCGAATATAAGAGACGTTGCAGGGTGCCTAATTGATTGAAGCAGCATTTAGATAGGAAGGAAGGTATAGATCCCCCATTGAATGTGTTTTAAGTCTTGTTAGCACTGACAAATCGGCTTTACAGGAGATTTTCTTTCCCCCTTAAACGCAATTTCACATCTCGAATATACCTCCTTATAATGGCTGAAGCTCTAAATTGGTATATAAAATAAGGTGGACCACTGACTACGAGACGCTGACTAGTCGAACGAGGCGAGTTAATATTTATTTCCTTTTCAACTTTTCCTTTTCTGCTAAAACTAAGATTAAGAGTGTAACATAATTTGTGTGACGGCTTAAAGTCTGTTGATCAATTTAAGTTTCGTCTGGCTCTTGTAAACGTGGACTGGGTTTCGGGGTCGAGCTCAGGCTTAGTCCCTCTGTTCCCCCTGCAATACATATTCAGCTTCACTTAATGCCTTCTTCCACCCGGTAGGAAACCTTGAGATGCTACATCGGTGGCAGCGGAAAGCGAGCTCGATTTCTATCCTAGTATCTACCGTTTGTGGCACATACATACGGTGTGGAGGAGGCGCATTTTTATCTGTGGCGGGTTAAGAATGGTGTTTGCGCCTGTCTTCACTTTATCCTCTTTTTCCACAGTCAAGCCATTAACAACTGAAGCGGCACCGCTGTGAGCCATCTGGAAAAACTTTGTACCAGGATTTCCTCCACTACATCCGTGTAAAGCTGTCAGAAATGACACTACTGTTCCCCTTATATATGGGACTGTGCCTGGTCTCACTTTCTCTGTAGCACATCTATTTCTCATCACTGCTCCACTGTCTAGTACTAGAGGCAACTGACGGTCAGCAGATGTATGCGGCCCTGCATCTAGATGTCTGGACCATTTGGAGCTCCTGAGGATACGAAGTACCGGTCCCTGGTGTTATGGTGACTGTTCGCTGGTAGGGCTGGCTCGTGAGTGCCTTCTTGCAGTGCCAACTATGTTGTGATAACAGGTGCGGGCGGTGTTCCAAGAAGAACCCCAAGGACGTCGCGCAAAACGAGGCAATGTGATGCTTTGGTTATGTGACTACCTGATGTCAGACTGGGTCCCTTTGTTCTTTCTAAAATGCATGCGTTCAGCCCCACTTAAAGCTTTATTCTGCCATGCGGGAAGTCTCGGGGTGTCACGTGTGGGATCGGTTATTATTGAAGGCTTTGCTCTGGATGGAGATTCGACGGGTTTGTACCTTCTCCAGCGCAAAATCTACTAAGCATTTACTTTCGTTTTGGTTACGTTTCTTTAAGTTGCCATACCGTTTCTGCTGGTCAGAAAAAGTAACCTTTGCATATTATGGTACTTCGAGCTTATATTTTTTTAGCGGTGATGGTTGGGAATGCAACGAATCGAATAGAAACAGTGTTCTTTTACGTTCATGCTTTCATCTGCATTTTAGGCGGAATAACCAAAGAATTTAATAAAACTTGAGTCCTTCTTTTAAAAAATTTGCCATGCTCCAATTTCTCTTTCTTTTTTAAGTCGAAGGCTGGTTTTTGCTACGATTGATCCCACGTTTATTGTAATAGTGGTCTAAGTGTCGCCTACAGATAACCCTGGCACTTCGTGCACTTAGCGTTGCTGGTTGTACGGCACTCGTTCGGGCCGTTCTCCGAATTTCTTGAGTATGACTACACTGAGATACTCTAGAGTCATCTTAAATAGCACAATCATAATGTTCGTGTCTGTTTTTTTGCTATCCATTGGTGCGACGGTCTCTACTTGTCTGCTCATTAATCCTTTGTTGAATGCGTAATCGGGTTTGGTGTTGCTAGGATGTTCTACTTTGTGGCTATTTGATCATGCTAACTGAATATGAACATAGTTGTATTGGTGAGTTTGTCGGATGCTGTTTTCGCACAAGATTCCGAATTCGCGTGAAACCTTTTAGCATACAATATGGCCCTTGTAGTAATGCACGGTTTGTGCTGTTACGCGGTCATTCCTCTCCTACTAGGTCCATTTACAGTTTTTAGCCAGCTGTAATGTTCTTATTCCTTTCATCAGTATCTCTTAACAGATGATGATTGAATGAATAAATCTAGCGGTTGGTTCCGTTGGTTCCCACGATTGATTTCTTTACAGGTGGGCCATGAACTCATCAACGAAAACGACCACTATAGCCCTTCCAACTCC